TTTTAAAATGATATGTTTCGATGAAAATTAGTTCACCCCACTTTGCAAAACTTGTTTTTATAACTATCGAGTTAAATAATATGAAGAAGTAGAGTCCAAAGTGCAAAAAGATAAAAAATGATCTACATTTTGAAAAAAATTTTTAATTAATTTATTAAAAAATGTTTTTTTTTTTGTACACTCATTAAATGAAAAAGCTCAACACTTTAATGAGTAATATTTAAATTAACAGTCAGTTGCGAATAAAGCAAAAATTTTTTAATGATAGACTATTAGATAATTGTTTGGTTTTTGTTATAAAAATCGATAACAAATAATATAAAGTTAAGATTCTTACCTTGCACTCATCATTCGAATTCATTATTTTGGCAGAACAATTAGAATAGAAAATTGATTTTTCAATCTCATTATTTTTATCATAAAGGGTTGATGAAGATTTTTTTGAAATACTTGCTGAAAATAAAACAGTAAAAAAATAAATAAATTTGATTATTTGCTAGAATAAATATTTATTTCTCTTATTATATACTTACATTGAATTATTGGCGACCACCATTCTGACATATCGTTTTGAATGTGTACTCGATCACCTACAGAACATCTAACCATGAAAGGCATGTAGTGTTCTAATTCTATACTCCCCTGAATATTAAAATAAAAAAATATGTAAAAATAATAATTTTAATAAATATTTTTGTTTAAAAAAAAAAAAAAAAAAAAAAAAAAAAAGCAAACTTACCACAACCATTGAATTAAAATTTTGATATTTATCATTGGCAGGTAAAAATGGTGGCAATCCTAATGATGTTTTCATTTTCATTAGATAATTCAATAAATAACCTTAAAATTACAAAAAATAAAATAAAAAATTAAATAAAATTATACAAGTAAAAATTGTAAAACAGAACAAAAAAAAAAAAAAGCTTACATATTTGTTTAAAAAAAATTTACCCTATAATATTTTACATCAAGACAAATGTTCAAAATTTTTGACAAACATTTTTTCAGCAAAAAAAAAAAATCATTTTAATATATATCAAAAAAAAAACCGTTTTTTACATATCAAATATATTAAATACGTAATACATATTATTGATAATTTGTAGGACCGTCTGAAAGTAAAAAAAATAACAATAATAATAATGATAACTAATAAATTATATATGAGAAAAAAAAACTTTATGAAAATTAATTAAAAAATTTACTTTTACTTAAGAACAAACCAAGCCCTAATATAACGGCTGGTTAGTCTCTGAACTTTCCAATATATTAAAGAAATTTACTAGATTTTATGGAGAAAAAAAAAAAAAAAAAAAAAAAACAAAATCCGAGCAAAAAAATTCTCGTTTTTTACAAAAAATTACCTTTTTTTTGTTTTTTTTTTTTACAAAAGTTTTTAACTTTATGTAATACGATATGAAAGTATATAAAATAAATTTAGTTTTTTTGCGATTATTAAATATTCTTATAATACAGAGCTGCCACATGTAAAAAATTCCGCCATTTTAAAACAGGAAATAATCTTTTTGTTTGACCTTGGATTTTATTTAACGTATGCCACCCCTAATTTTAAAAATTTATTTTACATATTTTTCCAAAAAATATTAACTTAAAAGTAATAAAAGAACATTTTAACAATAATAATAATTCAATAAATGTAGATGAAAAACAGAATTTTCGTTTTCTTTTTTTTTTTATTGCGAGTAATAAAAAATAAACCATATGTTTAAAAAGAAATATTTATAACAAATTAATTTTTAATTATTTTTTTTTTTTTTCTTTTGGAAAAATTTTTAATAATGAATATTTAAAACATTTTTTTATTATTTATACCCTAAAAAGATTTCTATTTTATAAAAAATCATTTTGTAAAAATTTCCCGAAAGAAAATATCACGGAAAATGTACACAGATTAATATGATTTTTCCCATAAGAGAAACATCCATTTTTTTTTTTTGAAACAATAATAATTATTATTATTAAAACTAATTAATAATTAATTAATAATTCAGAATTGAATATCGATCCTCAAAGGATATGATTATAAATAATTAAATCAAAAAAAAAAAAATAATAATTTAACAATTTATTATTATTATTATTATTATTATGTAATAATAACACATGAATCAACAATAACTATGTAAAATTATTTAAAAAAAAAAAAAGCTAAAAAAAATTATTTAATTATTTTGTTATTTAAATAATAATAATTATTTTTTATTTATCGTTTGAGGAAGACTAATTAATTTATTTATTTATTAAAATTATTGCAAATTATCATAAATTTTTAAGTACTAATTTGTGTTTTTTACTCTTAAGCTGGTTTTTTTTTTGCTATCAATAAATACTACTACAATCAATTGTAAAGGCCAAATGTAAATTAATTATTATAATTTAAAACAAAAAAAATTGTAATTTAATTATTTACAAACAATTTATTTAATTTATTTTTCAATTTATTTTCCTTATATATAAATAAAATTTTGCTCTCTTTCTTTTTTAATTTTTGTTCACATCATATTTCATTATTATTATGTTTTTAAAACAAAATTATTATTATTATTATTAATATTGGTGTTAAAATTATTATCATTAAAAATATTTTTTTATAAAAATTAAATTGTTAAAAATTTAACTTGAGAAAAAGGTGGGGTTTGAAAATTTAATTAAAATAAATAATAACAAGCCAAAGCAAAAATAAATTTTCATTAAAAAGGAAAAATTTTATTTAATTTGAATTTAATTTAAATTTAAAAAAAAAAAAAAACAACAACAAATTAAAAAGTAATTTTTTTCTTTTTTTATGTATGATCATCATATAAATTTTATTAATAAAAATATAAAAAGGGAGTTAAAAATAAATTATTATTTAAAATTTTTTTTTTTTTTTTATAATTAAATTATTGCTGGCAAACTGCTTATGTAATTATTTTTAGCATTTTTTTCTTTTTCATGATTCATTTTAATGTAAAATTACATAAAATAGGAACAACAATTTTTATTAAAATAAATAAATTAACAAAAAAAAGACAATCCAGCACCCTGAGTTTACAAACACTATAATTATTGTAAATTATTTTTTTTTTAAACACCAGGAAATTATATATGTCGATAATACAAATTGCAAAATTTTTGTTTTTTTGTTTCGTTTAATTTTATGTTTTTAGGCACTGTCATTATTTTAACCTATTTTTATACATAATAATAATAATAATTAATTTCAACAATATAATGTGTTACTTAAATAAAAAAAATTAATAATAATAATAATGATTTTACACATATTTATACAAAATAATTTAAAAATTTAATATAAGCAAATAAAAAAATGCTTTTTACAATAAAAAATTAATTTAATTGTTTAAAATTTACCCTCCATTATTTTATCTATAATAAACTTTTTTTTTTCAACTTTTATTCATTCACAATTATTTATTTGTTAAATATAATAACATAAAAATGAGCTTTGATAATTGTAACGATAAAAAAACGACAGAAAAATTTGAATAATAGCAATAATATTTTTAAACAAATTAATTATTTCTTTTTTTTTGTTTTCATGGAATGAAAAATATTTATAAACATTCACTTATGTATATGTGTATTAAAATTTTTATTAAAGGGCAAAAAAAAAATACAATTATAAGATATTTCGATTTTGACTCGATTAGTTGTTTCATTACTGTGCTTTGGCAGCTTCCGTTTTTTTCCTTCTTTTTATTAAAAGTTGATTATTGCTATTGTCTAAATTTTTAATGTGTATTTGATCATAATCAACTCTCATTGTCGCCAAAGATCGAGTCATTTCTTCTTGTACTTCAGGCCAGTGATCCTCACCTTCTTTAAGCATTCTGTTTGTATGTAATGGAGTTTGAGGTACTTCTGTATATTGCGCAATCCATTTATTTTTCATAATTTCTTCGATGGTTGGTCTTTTGACAGGATCAATGGTAAGCATTTTTTTAATAAGGTCTTTAGCATCTTGACTAACAGACTTCCATTCTGGACTTGGAAAATCGAATTGACCGGTTCTAATTCTTTTTTTCATTCCAGGAGATATTGCAAGGCCGTGATTACTGTAAAATGGTGGAAAACCACACAATAATATGTACATGATGACACCCAGGGACCAAATATCACAACTTTTATCATATTTTTCTGGACCTAAAACTTCAGGAGCAACATAATAAGGTGTATAACATGGTGTTTGTAGTGTATCTTTTGTAAATGTTTCCTTAGCGAAACCAAAGTCTGTGAGTTTTAAAATTCCTGATGAACTTTTATGAGAATACAACAAATTTTCCGGTTTTAAATCTCTATGAGCTATATTCATATCATGTAAATATTTAACGGCAGAACAAATTTCTCTCATTATTTGAGCAGCTTCTCTTTCGGTGAACGCACCATCTTGCTTATCCTGTATTCGTTGAAATAATTCCCCGCCTTCCATACATTCCATTACAACTAGTAAACACTTGTTCCCACTGTAGGTGTTTTCATAAACATCAATAATATTAACTATGTGACGATGACCACTCGCTTTCCAATGCAATTCAACTTCTCTTCTAGCTTTAACATTATCGTGAAGGACTTTGAGTGCAAATTTTTCTTTTGAAATTTTGCTACAACATTCTACAACTTTTCCACTAATTCCTAAACCAAGAACATTATTAGATATTTCATAATCGTTGATTATAGGCGTAGATTTTGGAGATTTTTTAAAAAAAGTATTATCTCCCATTTCAAATGATTATATTTATAATTGATTAAAACACTAATACTAAAAACTAAATGAAATATTACTGAAAAATATTATTAAAGTCTTTTAAAAAATATTAAAACTCTTAAATAAATAAATGATAAAACTACATTAGGTTAGTCATAGAGTAAAAAACTATTTTTAAAATATAATATAAATTTTAAGTTGGTAAAACTTAAATTCAAATTGTTCGAAATTTTTAACTTTGTGTTCTTAAAAAAAATGATAAATTTTATTGCTTTTTCATTTTAAAAATTTGTATTAGATCTAAATGAATTTAAAAGGCTAAAGTACGGTTATGTGAAAAACATTAAAAGAATAAAATAATAATAATAAACAATAATACTATTTAATATTGTTTTTTTAAAAATTGTATTAAGCAAAAAAATATACATATATGAAAAACACTAACTACAAAATTAATTTTAAATATATATTTTAAAAAACACTGTCGTACAGTATGGAAATCTAGAATAATCCATGAATAACTTTATCTTCAGTTAAATCCATATCGTAAATGCACGGCCTTGTGGGCAATCCAGGCATTTTAGAAATTTCACCGACTATGGGAATTATAAAACCTGCTCCAACCGAAGCCGTAACATCGTTTATTTCCAACACATATCCAGTGGGAGCTCCTTTTATAGCTGGATCTCCTGTAATGGACAAAGCAGTCTTTGCCATGCACATGGGAAACACACCGTATCCTTTTTTAGAGTATTCTTTTAATTTTTCAACGACCTTTGGGCTCATTTTTACCGAACCTGCACCATACACATTTTTGGCAATACAATTTATTTTATCTTCTAATGATAGATTGAGGTCGTACAAGAAATGAAAATTAGGTGGTTGAGAACAAGCTTTTTGTACAGCATCGGCCAATTCTGTGGCTCCAGCTCCTCCGTAAGCCCAATGAGAACATTTAACGGCATCGAAAGCTCCATTTTGAATACAAAAATTTTTCACCAAAGCAATTTCATTTTCCGTATCCGTTGCAAATGAATTAATGGCAACTACGACTGGCACTCCGAACAATCTGGCATTGTCTATGTGTCTTTTCAAATTCACGAGACCCTTTTCGAGAAGTTCCAAGTTTTCTTCTACGTATTCCTTTTTAAGTGGGGCTCCGGAAGTAACCGTTGGGCCTCCACCATGCATTTTTAACGCTCTTACTGTGGCAACTAAAACCACAGCATTTGGAACTAGTCCAGATGATCTGCATTTAATGTCAAAAAATTTTTCCATGCCAATATCAGATCCAAAACCAGCTTCTGTAACAACGAATCCATCGGGTCCCACCAGCTTTAATGCAATCAAATCTGCTATAACTGAAGAACATCCGTGTGCAATGTTTGCAAAAGGTCCCGCATGAATTATCACAGGTGTACCTTCCAAGCTTTGCATTAAATTTGGATCCATCGCATCCTTAAGCAGAATTGCCATACCTCCTGTTGCACCTAAATCATCAGCTGTAACCTCGTTTCCGAATTTGTCGTTTCCAATTACTATTTTTTCTAATCTTTTCTTCATATCATTTAAATCTTTAGCCAAAGCCAATATCGCCATTACTTCACTCGCAACGGAAATATCAAAACCAGTTTCTCGAGTCATATTCTTCTCTGTCGCCGACTGTCCTATTGTGATTTTTCTCAAAAAGCGATCATTCGTATCTATGACTCTACGCCAGGTAATTGTGGTCGGATCGATATTTAGCCTTACGAATTTGCTCACTTCTTCCGGTGTCAATGAGTCTGGATCTGTTTTTTGAATTTTAAGTCTTGCCAATCTCCGTAGCTGAACTTCTGAAAACTTACGATGGCCTTTTATCAATGGTACCAATCGATTGTATAATGCTTCGTCTGTTTGAGTGGCTTCATGAAATATACGAGCATCAATTTGAGCAGCTAAAAGATTATTAGCTGCCGTAACGGCATGGATGTCTCCGGTCAAGTGTAAATTCATTTCTTCCATTGGTATAACTTGAGAATAACCTCCACCAGCAGCTCCTCCTTTTATTCCAAACGTAGGACCTTGAGATGGTTGCCTTATGGTCGCGATGGCATTTTTACCTTTGTGTGCCGCCAAAGCTTGCACCAATCCTAAAGTTGTCGTGCTTTTACCTTCGCCAAGAGGAGTCGGTGTAATACCAGCAACTACTACCAATTTTCCTGATTTTTGATTTTGTAACCGATTTAAAACAGACGTACTAATTTTTGCTTTTTTCGATCCGTATGGCAAAACTTCATTCGGTTGTAATCCAATTTCTTCTGCCAATAGTGTAATATCTTTGGGTTCTTGTGCTCTTGAAATTTCAATATCAGACGGAACTTGTTCTTTTAATTTTAAACTTAACGGTCTGAGATTCCAAGACGTATTCAATATTTTATCAACAGCTCTTTCAGCCGATATGACAGTATTCGTCATCAACATGGCTACGGTCATGGGACCAACTCCGCCAGGTACGGGAGTTATATAGGATGCAATTTCTTTAGCTTCGTTAAAATCAACATCACCGACTAATCTTTGTCCAGTTTTTTTCGTGGGATCCGGTATAGCATTGATTCCACAATCAACAACGACAGCACCGGGTTTTATCCAACTTCCTTTTACAAATTCCGGTTTTCCAATTCCGACGACTAAAATATCAGCCGTGGCGCATATTTTATCAATGTTTCTAGTTCTCGAATGGCAAACGGTCACGGTTGCATTATGCCATTTTAAAAGTTCTGAAGCAGGGGTACCGACAATTTTACTCCTTCCCAAAACGACTGCATTTGCTCCGGCCATGGGAACCCCAGATCTTTTTATCAATTCGATGCAACCGTTCGGCGTGCACGGTATAAAACCCGACATGTCTCCTATGGAAACCCTTCCTTCGTTGATCGTATTCAAACCGTCGACATCCTTCGATGGTAAAACATAATCGGTGATTAAATGAGAATCAATTTTATTATCGGAATCCAATGGCATTTGTACTATAATACCATGAATTCCTGGATCGTTGTTGAGTTTTTGTAAAACCGATAACAATTCTCCTTCGGTTGTAGATTTTGGTAATTTAACATGATCAGGTTTCATACCGATTTCCAAAGCTGCTTTTATCTATAAAAGAATAAATAACGAATCATTATAAAATTTAAATAAAAAATTTCTTAATCGTTTGTGCATAAAAAAAACCTTAAGAAATTTTGAGTATTTAAAAAATTAAATATTTTCACACGATTAATAATAATAATAATAATAATAATAATTAAATTTAAGGACTTTTGAAGATCACGAACCGAAATTAGAAGAAGAAAAATTTCTTTTTTTTATTTATTATTTAACAATTATCACGGTTTTAAATTGATAAAGAATTGATTGTTAACCTATGACATTTTTAAACTATATATAAACCGTTAAACTTTTTTTTTTTTTTTTTTATAATTCGAATCGAAATTTTTTTTTTTTCATTCACTCATTATTATTATTATTATAAATTTTAAATATTTTATATACCTGCAACACAAAAATTTAGTTTAAAATATAAAAAAAAAAAAATGTTTGTTAATTTACCTTCATTCTTATATAAACATTTGAATCTTCTCGTCCTCCCACTTGCACGATAGCCAATCCAGGTACAAAACCAGGAATTTTTTCTTTTAGTTTTTCCACTCTTACGGTTAATTCGTTTCTTATTTCTTTTGATACTTCATTTCCCGACAGTAAAATCCCACGAACTTTTGGCAATTCCATTTTTTACATAAAACAAACAAACAAACAATCAATAAATATAAACAAAACACAAAACCGTTTTTTTTTTTAAAATTAAATAAAAATTTTTTTTTTTTTTATTATAAAATTCGTTTGTATTTTAAATTTTGTTGTTTGTTGTAATCTTTTGTTGTTCTGTTCGGAAAATGTTTGATTAAAAACGGTTTTATTCAAGTTATGACGTTTAATTAAATAAAAAAGGATGACCAAAAAGTTTGTCGCCTTTTTTATAAATAAATCAAATTTTTTTTTTTTTTTTTATAATTAATTTAAAATTTGATTTATTTATTTATTTATCGATAAAAATTTAAATTTTAAACGATTAATAATAATAATAATAATAATATTTAAAAAGGAAAAATAAATAAATTATGATCATGTTAATACAATCATAATTTTTTTTTTTCCCCTTCATTTTTTCTTAAATTATTATTATTATTATTATTAAATCGAAATATTTAATTTCGATAAATTCTACAAAATAATAATAATAATGATAATAAGTTAAATTTAAACTTTACATTCGACAATAAATAATTTGTAGGTTTTTATCACAAAAATGATAACCTTAAAATTTTAGTTTATAACATTTAGGAGGTGCGTTCAATAAGTTTCCCTCGATATTTATTTTCTAACAAAACAACAAACAAACATTTTATGTTATCAAACATTTTGTTGTTTTGTTTTGTTTTGTTTTTTATACATAAATTATAAAATCAATTTCGAACAAATGTTTTTACGATTTTTCAAATGATGATGTCACCGCATAATAATTAGTTTGTTAATAATAATAATAATAATGTTAAAATATTGTTAATGGTGGTGGTGTTAATGATATGATAAAATTAAAAAAAAAAAAAATTTAAAAAAACAAAACAAGGTGTATTAATAACGAATAAATAAATACAATTTATTATTATTATCGTTTTTTTCTTCTGGTTAATGACGACTTTTAATTATTTAAAAAAAATAAAATAAATTGAATACATATTTTTAAAAAAAAAACATAAAACTTATTAAACATTATTATTATTATTATTGTACATAAAAAAAAAAACAAATAATTACAACGATATAGTCTATACCATATTCCACCATTTTAAAAAAATTAACTCGCACGTGTTATACACGTTACATAATCATATTTTGTTTTGATGTTGTTATTTTTAAATGAGTTATTATTATTATTATTATTATTATTATTATTATTATTATTATTATTATTATTATTATTATTATTATCATTACTTAACCGTACGTATTTAATAAAACGCACAAAATATTTATTTATTTTTTTTATATTAAAAACGCATTAAACGAGTCATTAATGATATAAACTAACGCAAAAAAAAAAAAAAAAACGTGATTGTTTTATTACTTTTATTATATAGCACGATGAATTTCTATAAATTTTATAGTCTTTATTATAGTCTATAAAATTAAAAGAAATTTTTTTGTTTTTATATGTGAAAAAAAAAAAAAAATTTTTTTACACGTTAACATGCATATAAAAAACCAGAGATACTCGACTCATTAATTTTTTTTTTTTTTTTTTTTTATTTGTTTAAAAACGTCTTTTCCCATCTTCTCACGTACCTTAACAGTGATTAATAATAATAATAATAATAATAATATTTAACGAGGAAAAAAAATATAAATCGTTTGCGTTTGTCGTTTTTTTTTTTTTACATATAATAGTCGTTAATGTTTCAACTCTCTATAAAAACTTTTTACCAATAGATATAACATTAAATTTGTTTAAATAATTTTTTTTTTTTTTTTTTAAATAATCAGCCTTATTTAAAATTTAATAAAAAAAATAGAAAAAAAATTATGTTATGACGACGGCTTTATGTACGCAGGGCCCTCCCACGCCTTCCAATAATGCCGGCCACATATATGTTTGTATTTGTTCGCTTTCTTGATTCGACGTGTGAAATCTAACGTGCATATCCTTTCGAAATTTTCTCTCTTCGTACTCCAATACGTAAGGAGGACACTGAAACATTTTATTATTATTATTATTATCATTTACAATATAAATATTCGTTTGAGAGAGAGAGAGAGAGAGAGAGAAATTTTTTTTTTTAACCTGATTAACGAGTCCCCATGCGAGTCTTACGGAATCTTTTACGTATTGATTTAATCCCGCGCAAGATTTTAAACATGGATAATCGTAAAGCGTCGCCCATATTTGATTCGATACGTCCTTTAAAAAAAAAATTTATAAAAAATGAAAAATTTCCATTAATTCCACTCGGAAAAATAACGACAGGAAAACTTACGTTGATACATTTCGTCAAATCGAATTTATCGATTGTTTTTCTTAAATATGTCGAAACGCTTTTTTCAAGTTCTTGAAATATTGAATCGTTTTCAACATGATGATGATGATTATTATTTTGTACGACGTTAACGGAATTAATATTTTTATTATTATTATTATTACTATTGCTACTGCTACTACTACTACTACTACCGTTCGACGTAGAATCCTTATTGATGGGACTTGGCAGATGTAAAATTCTTCTGATGTGATCTTTTTTTGTCGCTAATAAATTTTCAGCGCAACGAAATGACAACTGATCAAGTTCAAACAAACCGGAAATTGAGTTTTTGAAAAAAATTTTCCCCCAAACCCCCGTTCGACGAATTAATTTCGGTTAAATTCGAGTTCGTTTTGACAAATCAAGATCACATCCATGTTGAGAAGAAGGAGTAGCAAAAATCCCACGATGAAAATGAAAAAAGAATATCGAATCAATTAATAATAATAATAATTATCAATAAAAAATTGCAATAAAAGAAAAAGAAAAAATTAAAAAATAATCAACGGTCATCATTACGTCATCGTTATCGTCTGCTAACTCCACAAATTTTATTAATAATAACAATCATTATCATTATCGCTACCCGTTTTATATTAATAATGACCGTAAAATAATTTTTTTTTTCTTTTTTTTTCTTTTTTTGCGTTTTTTTTTTTAAATAAATAATTTCGTGACGTCATGGGAGTTTATTTATTGTTATTGATAACGAATCAAAGAGACAGTGATAGTAGAAGAACGAAAAGTGTACAAGTAGAAAAAATGAAAAGATAGATTGAAAATAGAAAGTTTTCCCTTTTTTTTTTTTAAATGTTATTCTAAGCACTTTCGAGTTTCGATTTATCGAACGTTTACGATATTAAAAAAAAAAAATTTTATTTAAGTTGTTGTTCTTGTCGAATCAAAAATAATAAAAACGGTTTTTATCGAAATTTAATAATAATAATAATAATAATAATAATCATCCTCTTAAAAAGAAACGAGAGAATCAATTTATTAACGTCGAGCGTATTATCTATCAGGTATATATTTACTTTTTGTACGTGCGTACGTGCGTGCTCACGTGTACGTGTACGTGTGTGTGTGTGTGTGTGCGTAAGTACGTGTAATAAAAAGTCTCTTTGTAAACACGTAAAAATTACCGTTATGGAGGATAAATTGAAAAAAAGAAATTTCTTTTTCGTTATCCTTACTTACTTAGTCGGGACAGTTAAAAAATAATTTTTTTTGTGTCGTTTTGAACGAACGTGAACGCCTAAAGTACAGTTTATAGATATTAAGATTTTGCCCTATCCAATAGAAAGAAACTACACTTAGGGTACAAATTAAAAAAAATTTTGTACCTTTTTTTTTTTCTATCACGTGATAATTACATTATTTTTCAGGTACTTTTTGAAAGAAATTCTTTCATCTTACGTATAAGTAATAAAATATGACTTATTTAAGTGTAGTTTCTAACAGATTGAAAATTTAACAGAATTTCACAAGAAACGAATTTTATCATTATTATTATTAATATTACCACTGGTATTATTTTTCTTACCACAATAACGGAGAATAATATTTTTGATTTTAATTCTGTCGCATTGTTCAATTGAGGAAGATTGTCTAATGCATCCAACGTATCAACTCTTGCTTGAGCGTATAAATTAGCAAAACAACGAACCAAACGTTCTCCCACTAATAATAATCCATTATCAGAAGGTGGTGGTTGCTGTTGCTGCTGCTGCTGCTGCATACCCGTCGATGATTCCAATCTGAAATTACAATTTTGAAAATTTTCCGGATCGTTCTTTGAACGAAAAAAATAATAATGATAATATTTCAAGTTTCTCACTTGGATTTGAGACGTTTTTCATTTTCTTGTAGGTTCAATATCATTCCATTTGCTCTCGCAAGATCGATTCTCAATTTTTCTAATTCGGCTCTAAGAACGGTCGTTTCTTGAACTTGCGGAGAAACTTGCATGGCTGCTCTCGAACTACATCCTTGACAAGATGGAATACTTTGATTCCACGATATTCCAGAAGCTTTACATTATTTATTTAAAAAAAGAGTTTTAATACATGTCCGTTTTAAAAAAAACTTTAAGATTGTAATATAATCGTACTTACTGGCACTTAATTTTTTATGTTTAAGTTGTCGTAATCTAACGGGTCCGTTTGTACTTGATCCTATACCGGAGGATGAACTACCGGATGATGAATCTTTATCGTCTCTAACTGGGCTTAAAGACGCTGTGAAATATTTACAAGGGATTATGTTAAACCGTAATTATTTATTTATTTAAAATAATTATTAATGTAACCATACGAAAAAGAAAATGGGGATTATTATTATTACCCGGAGGACTATCGGTTCCGGATGAATTGGTGTTGTTACCAGACGAAGAACTTAACTGATGATGTAAAAGTTCTACGGATGGTCTTAAACTATTTTTACTGCATGACCTGACTGTTAAAAAGTATAAAATTTATAATTAATGGCTTTCTTTTAAATAATTTTTTCCGATTGCGTTATTTTATTGTCGTACCTGATCTTGTCAAAAAATTATATCGTGCTCTTTTGCTCACGTATGGTGAATTGCCAGACATCATTATTGCAGAATCTGATTCGCTATGGTATCCAGATATGTCACTCGAATCCGCTTCGTCGTCTGCTACTTCTTTCATTAAATCCAATACCTTTTAAAATATACAAAAAATATTCATGACGTGAAAATACCTTTTTTTTTTTTTTTTCCAAATTTAGTTTTCGTTATACCTTTTCGCAACCGCTGGAAAATTTTATTAGTACCGGAGCAATGGCAGCATTGGGTTCAATAATATTTGCTTCTTTTTTTAATTGCGTAAATTGAAATAAAACTTCTTTGTCATATTCTATTCTACGCTGAAGAATTCCTAAAAAAAATTTTCACGAATGAATTTTTAATAAAAAAAAAAAAAAATTTAAATTTGTTGTTTTTGTAATTTCCGATGGGAAAAAGGTAATAATTACCCAAAAGTATATCCAATGAATGATTGCCTAAAGTTGGTTCGACAACATTCAACAAAGTTTTGTTTTTAATTAATCTTTCTTGTATTTCCGGTTGTTTCAACGAAAGCTGTCTCTGATGAGAAGCTTGAACCGGAGCTGGACCACGAATGGTGCTATTCATATCTTTTTTACCACTCGAAAGGCTGAGCTCTTCTAATTTTTGTAAGGCTCCTTTGTACGTTTCAACAACTCTTTGAAATTCGACCTGAAAAACGTTTTCCAAAAAAAATCAAAACGATGAACGTTCATTTTTTTTTTTTTTTTTTGATTTCGTGAGGTTGTTCACGATAAAACCGGATTCTATATCAAAAAATTAAATGTATTTTAATTCAAAACATTTTTTATGACCCTTCAGGTTTTGCACGCAATACGGAAGAAGATGTTATTAAAATAAATTATTGCAATTATTTTTGAAACAAACAAATAAAAATAAATGAAAAACGTGAAAGGCAAATTTTTAGTGAACCTTAAAAAATTTCGCACGATGTAATTCGATAAAATTAAAATTTTGAAAAAAAAATTATGCAGACGACGGAAATGAAAGGAAGGAAGGAGGTAAATTTAAAATTCCGATTCGGGAAAAAAAAAAAAAAAAAAAACATTGAGATCTTTTTCCGGTTTGTTAAAGTAACAAACAATTGTATCATGAGAAAAAATCTTTTATAATAAAAAAATTACTTAAGTTTTTTTTTTTTTTTTTATTCTTTTTCTTCTGCTTTTTTTTTTTTTGTTTCGAGTTTTAGTATTAAATGTGATGTAATTATTATTATTACCATCATCATCATCATCATTACCATCATGAGTATCATGAGAATTTTTTGAAATTAAAATTTATTCTTATTTGTTCAATTGTTTTTGTTTTTGTTATTGTTTTTATTTTTTATTTTTTGCACCGGTTCGACAAGCATTATTTAATGATGAATAATAATAATAATAATTAAAATTGTTAATAATTAAAAGAAAGTCGGTAAAATAATATTAAAGACTACGGAAAATAAAAAAAAAAAAAAAATGGAAGAGGAAATTCTTACCTTGAGAGCATCGTGAAGATTTGTTAACGTTTCGTCTGTCGTTCCTACCAGACCGTGTTGACCCAAACCTTCAATTGCTTTATCCAAACTTCTTTTTCTCGCTTGAACCATTTTTTTAAGTTTATGATCGGACAGTACAATCACCTGTAAATCATTCACGGAGTGTTTAGGATAACAAAAAAAAAACAAAAGAAATCGTGTGCTGGCTACAACCATATTGATTAATGAAAAAAAAAAAAATTTACCGAACAATGAAACAAAAAAAAAATTATTATGGACTTGATTAAATTTTGTTTTTTTTTACCTTCAATAATTTTTTACAACTGCAAACAAAAGGCCCACACAAATCCCACTTATCGGAATTTTTATCCAAATCCCCGGTTGAAAAAAATTTAACCATTTGCATGACAACCGCTTCGGGACGAAGTAATTTCATGCTAAAATTAAGGCCGTCCGATAGGAAAACTTTCGCGTAAAGAGCTTCCAATATCGATAAACTGTGAGGCATTGATTCGACGAAAAAATCGATGGGTAAATCGTTTAATATTACCTGAGAAAAATGCAACATGAGATGAGGAAACAAACAAACAAACAAACAAACGGAATTCGTTTATAAAAAATGAAAAAAAAAAAACTACAAACTTTAAACGTTCCGTGGCTTAGCCTATTTATGAAATTTGCAGCTTCTCGATATTGAAAATTTTCATAGAGTAAAATAATTCTTTTGACGGCGACTCTTGGTGACACGTCTGCTATCGTCATCGAACCGATTCGCGAATCAAGATCATCCGTATACGAACCTACAAAACGTTGAAAACAATAATAATAATAATTTTTTTTTTTTCAAAAGTTTGCCGAAAAAATAATTAATTTTATTAATTAATACCACGTAATTAATTTTTATTTTTTTTATTATCTGACGACTCAAAAAAAAACCGTAATATTTGTGGATTTAAAAATTCTATGAGTTAGCATATTATGTGTTTGAGTGAAAGGTATAACGAATATTTTAAAACCGGGATTAATTATATATATTTAAATTTTTTTTTTTTTTTCGGCATTTCTAACGATTTCAACTTTGAATCAATGACTTATTGAAAAAAAAAAAAAAACAGAAAAAAAAAAAGAAAACTAGCACTGATAAACGAGTTTTTAAACTCTCTGTGACTAAATAAATTTATTACCGAGAATTAACATGAAAGATATTTAATAAATAAAATCTTATATTAGATTACTCTTGTAAAAAAAAAAATTTTTTTTTTTTTTTTTTATTGTCAAACTTTTACAAAACGTGAACTTGTCGAATTAGTTTTTTTTTTTTTTTTAAATTTATTTATTTATTTATTTATTAAAAAAAATTTCAAGTGCGAATTTACCTGTACCTGACGAAAAACCTCCGACCCATCTCGATGCTTTCCATTGCATTTTTTGTACATTGTTTCTTTTGTTACTCCTTTCCGGTTTTATTCTTTCGCCACGTTCCAAAACGGAAAATCCAGAATCGCCAGAATTTGTCGATGCGAGCTATAAAAATTAAAAATTATTAAAAAAAAAAAAAATTATTTTCATTTATTTACAAGTTGCATCGCGTGGAATTGACACCGCAATAAAAGTAGTTTAGTAAATGGAAAACGGAAATGTCATTTCAAATATTAATTATTCTATGTTATTCTATTTAAAATTTTGTTTTGTAACTTTAGCAAATACCGGAAACGGAAATATAATTAAACGTGAATTTTTTCATCGAATGAAAAAAGTTTCGCGAATGCGACCACCAAAATGGCGTTCGAAAATTTTGCTAACCATGTGTTTGCCTCGTCATAAAATAAACTATATTTAATCCAAAACTAAATTTTACCCCCTCAACGCAATACAAGACATTTAGGAGCAGAAGAATTGTGTCGTGGCAGAAGGCAAAAAGCTCTTGATAGGGTAACACAAGGCAAGAACTTTTATATAATAAGCAGTAAGTTTTCAAATTAAATAGTTAAAATTTATTCTAGCACATTTGTGAATGAGTTCTATTATTAAGTAATTGTAATAATAATAATAATAATAATAATAATAATAAATAGAATATAGTTTTGGCCTCGTAGACTGGACGAAAGAAGAAATCACGCACCTAGATAGAAGGACAAGAAAAATATTAACCATGAATGGTGCGTTACATCCAAAAGCGGATGTGGATAGATTGTACGTCAGCAGGAAAGATGGAGGAAGAGGATTACGACAAATAGAAGCGGCATACCAGAATGCCATTATTGGAATGGGAAAATACATAGAATCCCATCAAGAGGACCCTATTTTAGCCCAAGTTATACATGCAGAAGAAAAAACTACAAAAAAAGGAGTTCTGAAAAGGGCAAAACAAATCGTCCAAGAAAATAAAGAAAATGAGATAATGGAAGAAGGGCAACTTGCAACTTATAATAGCAAAGCCCAATCTCAGAAGAAATTAAAAGGCAAATGGGAACAGAAAAAATTACATGGGCAATACCTAAAAAGAATAAATGCCGACGATATTAATAAGAAGAGCACGCACAATTGGCTACGACGTGGAAAACTTAAAATAGAAACAGAAGCGTTTATTACAGCGGCTCAAGATCAGGC